AAAAATATATGTTATACAAAAAAATAAACTAAATAACATTTGCCTCAACATTATATCCAAATTCTTTAGCACATTTGAAATAAAAATCAAATACTAAAAATAAATAATAATAATAAAAATTAGAAAAAATAAAACGAGAATGAAATTATTGAGCGGGGGAGCACGTTTTGGACACCGCTATCTTTGGTGATTTTTTTTTTTTTTTTGGCTGTGGCAAATACCATGAAAATTTATATATGTGTATCTTACATAATAGAAAATATACAAATAAAGTTTGAAAAAATAATAATTTCGTTCATGCTCCGAAATAAAGGAAAAACAAAAAGTGAAAAGAAAAAAAAAACAAATTATGAGTCAGCAAACAAGTTTTGACACCACCATGTTTTTCGACTTTTTTTTTTTTTTTTTTTTGGCTGAACAGAATGGCTTTAAAATTAAGAAGGAGATAGGATACATCACAAAGAATGCACATAAAAATTTTCAGAAAAAAATAAAAATGTTTAGGGACCAAAATAAGTTTTTGCGGGGTTCGAACCCCTTCAGGTTCGGGCCCCGTACGGGGACCCGAACGCCCGAACGTTCGGGGGTCAGCTTAGGGACCTCCGTACATTCGGGCTGACAACCCTGTATATAATAGAATATATATGTATATACACAGGGTAACCAGCGTTCGGGACGGGCCGAATGCCCGAACCGGAACGCCCGAACGTATGGGACCCCTTGGGGATGCGTTCGGTCGTTCGGGCCGACCGTGGATCCAAAAAAAATAAAAAATAAAAAAAACAACGTCGTTAAAAAAATCTGAAAAAAAAAAAATATTACAAAGAAAAATAAATTAAACAAGATTTGCCTGAGCATTACGTCCGAATTCCTTACCAAATTTGAAATCAAAATAAATACACAGAACAAATATTAATAATAAAAATAAATAAAAATCAAAAGAGAATTAAATTTAGTGAGTGCGCGAGCATGTTTTCGACACCTCCATCTTTGGCGATTTTTCATTGTTTTTTGGCATAGCTAAATGCCCTGAAAATTTACAGATGTGTGCTTCACATAATACAAAACCCACTAAAAAAGTTTTCAAAAATAATAAATTGTTTAGACCCGGAACTAAAGTGAAAATAAAAAGTAAAAAGTGAAAAACATTGTGGGCGAGCAAGTTTTGACGTCGCCATCTTTGATGATTTCTAATAAGTATTTGGCTGAGCCAAATGACTTGAAAATTTATAAGCATGTAACTCACGTCATAGAGAACTCATAAAAAAACATTTAAAAAAATATATATATTTTTTGCCCCCGAAATAATTTTTGGCGGGAGCCGAACGCCGTCAGGTTCGGGCCCCGTACGGGACCGCGAACGCCCGAACGTATGGAGGTCCACCCTTGGGCCTCGGTACGTACGGGCTGGTAACAATATATATATATATATATATATATATATATATGTCCTCTTCTCCCTCTCTGCCTACGGTTTACCGGGCACTATTTGACGATATATACTACGACTTCGCTAGCTTCCTGCTACGGTTTTCTCCGGTCAGGTCGAGCGGCAGTGGTCGGGACCGTCACTACGCGGCCATGCTGTGCCTCTAGTGCCAGCGGCGTGTCTGGAGTGTATTTTTTGGCTGTGACAGACCTTTCTTTGTTTCGTGGATGTTTTGCTGGCTTGTGATGGGGTATGGGGTGTGAACCGACAGTCTGTAGAGTTTTCCATCTGGTGTGGGTGAGTGATAGTCTACTTTGATTTTGGTTAAGGTAGATTATCATTTACAGTGTAATCAGTGAGGGGATTCTGCAGACTGTTGAGGGTTCAACCTCCTGATGAGTTGGTGAAACTCTGACGAAACAGTTTGTCACAGCCCCTCGTTTATTGTCCTCTTCTCTCTCTCTGCCTACGGTTTACCGGGCAGTTCTGTTTGTGACGATATATATATATATATATTCATGTGGGGCAAGTGATTCCGGACCACTGTCGTAATCAATAAAATAGTGTTTTGTGTACCTTCCTCGCTTCTCTCTTTGTGTGTATGTCTCTCTCTCTCACTCTCTCTCTCACTATCTCTATCTCTATCTTCATCTCTCTATCTCTCTATCTCTCTGTCTCTCTATCTATCTATATATCTTTCTATTTTTGTATCCATCTATCGATTTATCTATCCATCTATCTATCTATGTATATACATACTTCAAACACTCCTTCTCTTTCTTTTCTTCTTCATCTACGTAGCGGACCCACAAGGTGTGGTACTCCGCTAGTGGTAGAGATGGAGATGGAGGAAGAAGAGGGGAGCAAGATGCACAGTGCAGCTCCCACGCATGACTCCAACGCGCGTACTCCAAAAATGTGCAAGTGAAGAATGACTCGAAAACAGACAACTGCTGGGGTATACCCCAGCGGACTGACGGGATTGGAATAGACTGGCTGGTACCGACAGAGGTACCGGCCTGGACTGGACGCCGCCGAATAGAACACAGGCCTGTGAGAACAGGCCAAGGGGCTGGTCTCACAGGCCAACCAACCAGAGGTCCGCTACACGATCCTCGGTCTGTGATGGATCGCCTAGATGCAAACACGCTTCCGTCAAGAAGCGGAACTCTACCAAAGAAAAGGAAAAACTTGAGTAGTCTAGGATGCGGAACAAGCTCCATGTTGAGTCCATGCGATGCAACCTAGGATATAAAATGTCGCAAAACAGCAATGTCACGGCTAACAGCCTAAGTAAAAGCAGAAACAACTAACTAGCATACATGTCATAGGAAAGCAGAAGCAACCAACTCCTAGAAATGTCAGAGGCAGTAGCCTCAGTCTGAGAGCAACAAAGCAATCAACAAAACAACCATATGTCACAGGAGGAGTGTGTCTCAAACTAAAGGGTGCGATGGTCTCTGAGGGTGGCAAATGCAGCCTAGGGTTCGAAAACTCGTAAGGGCATCCACACATTGATAACAGGGAGACACATGTCATCAGGCTCAATGAGGGTAGGGAACTAGGAGCGGGTAAAGCTTGGCTAAAGAGTGACCGCTATGGAGGGTCGACCATGCAAGGGAACAAGGGAGCCTGGTATACTGGGCGCACCTAGATGAAGCATGTGGGGCTGTCTAACTAGGGCGTGAGGGCTGGCAGAGGGTAGAGGTGATGGGTAGGGGAATCGTGCAAATGACTCCTAAAGTGAAGGAAGTCGGAGCTAGATCCGTAAGATGGGAAGCCAGGGCAACGCTACGGTCCCGATGCCTATGCGTATACCATGGGAGAGCCCAACTTAGAGGAACCCGGCTAAAGGGAGACCATCATGCGACACAAGCAGGGTACTGTACAGGGTAAAGTGCTAAGAGAGTGATGACGTTTGAAGTAGGCGGAGCTGATCGTGATGAAGTCCATGAAGCTGTCGATGACGTCCACGATAAGAAGTCCGGAATGCCGTCGAGGAAGAGCCGCAACGTCGACGAGCTGAAGTAGCAAAATTGATATGGATGGAGTACTGAGAAGTCAAAGACGTGGGAAGGTAAGTCAGAGTCAATCGTCGTATCGAGCAGGACGACGACGAGTGCGCTGTGGACGCTCAGA